AGGTTCAGAAGCACTTCAAGGAAGTGGTCCAGGAGCTAATGCATATTGATGGGTGTGACTCATGTGACTCTGAGAAGCTTTTAGGCCCTGGCTCAGTTTCAAGGCAGGCTTGAGATGCTCCTGATCTTTCTTGTGCAGGAAGAATCCTTTGTTCTCCGTGGAACCTTTCCATTGTCCAGGAGCTCTGAGTATGGCTGGGTGGGGCCCTCGATTCAGGCCCTGCAGGTCACTGGCTGCATGCAGAGAGGCGAAGCTTCCCAAGGAGACATCAATGGAGTCAGCCTGAGATGTGTGATTCTGCAGAGTTGCTGCCTACTTTCTGGCTGTAGACCTGAACAAAACATTTAGCCTTTCTTGGCCTCAGTTTTCAAATCTTTAAAAAGGAAGCAGGAGTCCTTGTATTTTCAAGGGAGGGACTGTGAGCAGCAGCCATTAGGCAGTGAGTGCAAGTGCAAAAAAAAATGTTTTTTGATAGCCTGCCTTCCAGAACATTCAGTAACCCAGTCTGAACATTCAATGTCAGAATTAACAAATATCTCTGAGGCAAAGCTGACATTTCACTCTGCATCCCTTAGACTAAGCATTCTTGTACCTGCGTCAGAAGGAAACGCTGCATCTTAGCTACTCTACGAGTAACAGGGTGTGCCAGAAGACAGTTTCCTGCCAACACATGGCTTCTGAGCTCTTCTAAATGCACCTCCATCCTGCACCTGCACTATTAATATCAGAGAGGAGTGACGATTCTTCAGAATTTGACAGTACTGTGAGAAAGTTACTTTTTTCTCACAGGAACAGAATAATAGTCTCCTGAGTCTTTTAAAAAAAAGCCTTTAGTGCTGTTTCTTTTTTTAAATAAGTGGTTTATTTCAGAACATCTAATTTAAGAACTATTATGAAGATAGTACAAAGAATTGTTGTGTACTCCATGCCCCGTTTGACATCTTGCATTAGTGAAGTATACTTGTTATGATTAATGGGCCAAAAGGAGACACTGTTATTTTTTTTGTTTTGCAATAGGGTCTCACTGTGTAGTTTAGGCTGACCTTGAGTATACTATATAGCACAGTGTGGCCTTGAATTTGCAGTGACCTCCCTGCTTCAGCCTCCTGAGTGCTGAGATTACAGGCACATAGCACCATTCCCAGTTATGGAGACAGTGTTATTAACTAAAGCGTGTACCTGAGATTTCCTCAGTTTCCCCTAATACTCTTTTGTGTCCCAAGACCCTGCCAAGGAAACCTCATCCCAGGGAGTTGCCATGTCTCTGTAGGTTCTTCTTAGCTGTGATTGCTCCCCACACTTCCTTGGCTCTGAAAACCTTCAGGGTTTGGGGACTGAGCTCCTTCCTTGGGACTACTGGGACCTGATGTTTTCTCTGACTGGTTGGTGGCTCTGGGACTTTGGAAGAAAGACCACGAAAGTGACTGGCACGGCCATTATGCACCAAGGAACCCAGAGCCAGCCTGACTCAACACTGTGATTCTGGTCTGGACCCTGGCAAAAGTGCATGTGTCAGCCTTCCCATAGCACTGTGACTCTGTTTCTTTCTCTTTCTGAGCCACACCATTGAGAGAAAGTCATTGTTCAGTGCCTATCTGAGGTGGGAGGGCTGTGTTCCACCTTTGAGGATGCTCTATCTTGGTAAAGAGCTTGGAATTCTCTTCAGAGATTTTCTTTTCTCTCATTTATTTATCTGTTAATATGAACTCATGGATCAGCTAGCTTATAGCTACTTTAGAGTTTTACTCACATTATTCCAGCCTTGGCCTTTGCAAGCTCGTTTAGTTGACTTCTGCATCACTTTTACACACTCCTGTGTGTGTGTGTGTGTGTGTGTGTGTGTGAAGCACTTCTTTCTTGGTACTACATGATGCTCCGGGCTCACTTTGCCTATTTCCTTCCCTTCCCCTAGGATCAACCATTTTTCCAAGGAGTCCTAGTACCTTTTATTAGCAGATAGTATTAGAAAAATACTGAGTGCTGAATCTGCTTGTTGGGATTTTGTTGCTTTTAGATCCTCTTTGTTGACAGAAAAAGGAGGTATATGTCTATGTCAACCTGCACATGGATGCATATTTGTACATATTTTTATATATGTCTATATGAAGCTAAACATCAGCTCATCTGCCATTTCTCACTAATCCATTGTCATGTGGATCGCTGTGGCCTCCTCCCCTTGCTTATGAGTACCCTCTCACTCCCAGCACAGACACCTGGTCTCTGCCATCCACCATCCAGTAACTTAATTCCTTAAGAGTTCTGCTTTAGTAGATGTGCATAGGTGTGTCAGAATGGTTAGCTTCTGGGAGACAACCTTACTAATTTGAGCACTCTTACATGTGGTTTCTTTGCCCTTTAATTTTATAGACCCTGCTCAACTCTAAAACCACTTAGATCAGCACCTTATTCCTTACCCCTCTTTATTTTCAGTGTAGATTATAGTATCACTCTGCCTCCTACCTTGGGATTCCTCTAACCATCTAAATGTTTTTTTAAAATAAAAATTATATACATTGAAACTTACATTTTATGCTCTGAATCACTGTGGTTTTTGACAACTGCTTCATCTCTTGCAGGTTGCCATTATAGTGTCACACAGAGTAGTCTGATTGCCCTAGCAATCCCTGTACTCTGCATGCTCACATATGCTTACCCTGGACTCTGATATGTTTATCATCTCTATTCTTTTGCCTTTTCCAGAATGTCATATAGCTGGAATCACACAAAATGTGGTTTTTCCAGACTAGCTTCTTTCGCTTATTTCATTTATGATTCATCTTTGTCTTTGTAGTTTACAGCACGTTTCTTTGTTTTGCTAAATAATACTCAATCTTATAAGTATATCACAATTTGTTTATTGGAAGAAGTTTTGGTTACTTTCTCATTTTGACAGTTACTGTAAACGTTCATATCAGGTTTTAATGTGAATGCAAGTTTTCAACTTACTTGGATAGATAAGCAGGCGCAGAACTGTTGAGAGTGTGCCTAGTGTACAGGGAACTGTCCAGCTCTCTTTCAGAGTGGCAGCACCATTCTCATCCTTACCAGTCAGGAACAGTTCCCATATCACCAGTTTTCAGTATTCTTTAATGAAGTGTGAGGTTGTGTCTCATTCTGTTAGTGTTTATTTCCCTAACTTTGCTGGGTTTTTATTTGGTGAGCCACTTTTGAAAACAGATTCATCTACTTTTTCTTTCCCAGATGGTTTGTCTCAGAGTTTATCACTGACACTGTGAACACTGGATTGTGGTTGGGTTGTTTTTGAGGTCTACATTCTTATTCTAATTATGATTACACATTTCTAGTGAGATTGCTTCATGTATGTAATTTTCAGCAAGCTATTGCTGCCTTTGCAGTGAAGCATACAAATCATCATTTCCTAGGACCACATGGGAATTTGGGGGGTAAATATATTATCTAGATGTTAGGAAATTCCTTCCAGTAATAGTGCAGTTCCAGATTTCTACATGCTCACACTGCTGTGAAGTAGTCTGTGGCCTCCTTTGATCTTCCAGGAAAACACCAGTTATTCAGTCCCTTAAAGTGCTGTGAGTTCTATGACAGTGGCTGGCATCCTCTCCTTATCCTCTCTGTCATTTGTATTGTATGCAGGCTACCTGCCTTAGGGCCAGTGTAGCACTCCCATCCTTAATCTCAGCACTGGATCATGAATCAATCACAAACTCCAGATTCACTCACTTCCAAAACAACCTAAGACTGCATGAGGCTTTGAGGGGACATTTAAACACAAACTATAACACTGACTAAAGTAGCAAAGTCAGAAATCAATAATAAAAGCACAGAGAAAGCAAGCTTATCTACCTGATATTTAAAAACTATAAAATTAATTCAAATTAAAGAAGAAATTATACTGGAAATTGAATGACTAATGATGTAAGTAAAAGACTTATAAAATGTGCAATAATACTTGGTGGGAAATTTTTCCTCACTTCTTTTGTTGTACTGGAGCTTGAACTCAGGAGTGTTCTACCACTGAGGTATATCCTTATTCCTTTTTAATTTTTTATTTTGAGAAAGGCTCTTGTTATGTTGCCCAGTTGTCCTTGAACTTTTGATCCTCCTGCATTAGCCTCCTAAGTAGCTCAGATTATAGGAGTAATTTATACTCTTAGCATTAGTTATTTGAAAGGATAAAGACTGAAAATTGATCATACAAGTGTCCAAATTGAGAAATTAGCAGGAAGTAGAAGAGAGGGACATTAAGAATAGAAATTTGTGAAATGGAAGACAACAAAAAATATTTTTATTCTTCATTGCGTTAATATAATACTGCATTGATTGACTTTTGCATTGAATTGATTTTTGTGGAATCAGCCTTACATTTTTGGATAAATTCCAGTTGGTCATGATTCGTAATTCATTTATACATTTTTTGATTTTGTGAGTATTGTGTTGTGGAATTTTATATCTGTGTTGATAAGATTATACTGTTAGGTTTTCATCTGCTTTTGTATCAGGCTAGTGTTGACTTCATAGAATGAAGTGGTACTATTCTTTATCATTTGCTGTTTAAAAGAGTTAGGAAAGGATTGGTGCTAGTTCTTTAAATACATGGCAGAATTCAACAGGGAAGCAGCCTGGTCTTGAGCTTTTTATTATGGAAAGTTTTTTGATTTATAACTCAATTTTGTTTTACTTTAGGTGTAATAAGATTTTCTATTTTTCCTTGAGTCATTTTCTATAGTTGTACCTATTTGTAGGGATTTGCTCATTTCATCTAGTTTAGTCTTGATATAAAATTGTTCATAATATTTCCTTATAATTCTTATTTTTGTAAGTTTGGTAGTAATATCCTCACTTTCATTTCTAATTTAGTAGTTTGAGCCTCTTGTTTTCTTTGTCAGTCTAGGGAAGGGTTTATCAGAGTTGATTTTGTAAGGAAACAACTTCTGGCTGTGTTTTCCCATTCTGTTTTACTTTTGCTGGAATATTAGGTGAAGTTGTGCTTACTGAGTAAGGACCTTCCTCTTCAAATGCAGGTGCTGCTGCTGTGGAAGATACCCTACTTACGCCTGCTGCTGCTGCTGACTCCTGACCTCTGAGCTCTTGGTGGAGCTGGGAAGGGGATGGGACTTGGGTGAGTTAAAATGCCACGTGTTCACAATTCTTACCAAGATTCAGGGTTTTTTTTTTTTTTTTGTAAATGACTCTTAGATTATTGAATTCCTTTAATTCAGTGTTCCTAAGTTAATCATTACAGTTTTTGCCAGTGTTCTCATTGATTATATGGAGGGGAGAGCTGTTAGTAGCCATTACTGTTTTACACTTAAATTTTTTTTTAAATGAGTGTGTTGCCACAAGATATTTTATGGAATGGATTAATGGCTTCTGAATGTCCTAAGGAAATTGATTCTATAATAGTAGCCAGCAAATTTTGGAAAAGAACAGCAGTTTATACTGCTGTTTATACAGTTTATACAGCCTTATAGCTGCTGACCCCAACTGATATCAAAACATTCTGGAAAACTGAGGAAATTAAAACATTGTGATTCTAAGGCAGAAAATAGTAGTGTCAGGAGCCAAACAGAGCTGGCTCCTGAAAGGGGACTTGCATGTGGTGAAATTTCATCTTGTGTCAGCCAAGCCTAGAGGAGCCAGAGAGATCAAGAATCAGCTGGGTTCCAAATTGTCTTCATTGTTCTCAGTTTCTGCCCTGCAACAAGGCTGATAGTGCCCTAGGAGGAGGTTGTGTGGCTGAGGCTGTGGAGGGGTGGGTGCCACTGTGAATGAGGGTGACAGCTTCTGGGTGTCTGCAGTGATGGGGGAGCAAGCATTCCTGGGTGGGCTAAGGAAGCATATCTTGTGAGATAAGACCCTGAGAAGCTGACTGAGGGGCAGGACATTTTCTGTGTGGCTTTTCCAATCATGACATCACATCTGCAAGCTAGAAAGCAGCGAATTTCAGAGTTCTGTAGAGTAGGATTACTGCATACCAAATCCCAAAGCCAGCAGGAGGAAATAGCAGTCAAGTGTACAGTGCCCGTAGCATCTCTGGGGTGACCTGAAGATAGTCAAGTGGTGGGAACATGGCAAGGCTTTTGTGCTGAGGGAATTCTCATTGCTGTTTTATTTATTTAGTGCTCAATGTGTTAAACTCATAATCAATTTAAAAAACAATTTCAGTAGCATTGGTGAAATATTCTTTTAAATGCATTGGCAGTAGACTCATGCAAAAATGCAGTGACCACAACATTTATTGTTGACTTCGACCTTTGAAAGACATCTGCCCCAGGGGCTGGGGATTTAGCTCAGCAGCATAAGCGCCTGCCTTGCAAGCAGGCAGTTGTGAGTTCGATCCCTGGTACCGATAAAAACGAAAAAGACAAAAAAAGAAAGACATCTGCCCTCCAGTATTGTAAGTGGATGCTTTTCCCACCTGAAGCACGTGGTTGCACCCCAGACCAGTGGGAAGCAGGCTGCATGTGTCATACCAGTTACGATAGTTGGCAAGATGGCAATGTGACTGCATAGCCTATGATGCCTGGGCCTCGAGTTTAGCCTGAGCAAGGAGGACACATACTCTGTTTGGTGCCAAGATGGCTACAGCTTGGCTGCAACCTCTGTGAGCTGCCACTTTGAACTGCCCAGGGCTGTCTTCCCATGTTCTTATTTTCTAGTCAGGACACCATGTTTCAGGACCTGTGACTTCTTCCTGTTTCAAATTGTGGAAACATGTATTGGTAAATACATGTGGAGGGTGGTATTAGTGTCTAAACTCTTGGCTCCATGGGTGTCCACGAGTACTAAGTTCACAGTGATTTCTACCACTCCTCCCATTTTAGTTCTATTATCATTAAGGTCATTTAAAACGTATTCTATTGTAAGAAAACTCCAGAATTTCTTCTTTTCTAAATACATTTAGTTACATTTCTTTAACTTTCAGCCAGAAATTAATGATGCTCCTTTCTTTCTGCTCTCTGCATGAGTCTTCACTGTCAGGGACTGAGTAGACATTGCATAGAAGGAGCATGGTGCTGACAGGGAGGGTGAGGAGCTGGGCCTTACATGCACAGAAGACACAAGTGCACATGTGTCACCCTTGGGCCATCTCCCTGGCATGTGTTTTGAGAAGGTTCAGAACATGGTTTTGCTTGAGAGTCACAGACACTGAAGATATCATATCAGGTGTCTTGGACAGTAGCTGTAGGTAGCAGGTGTCTGGATCCATGTGTCTATATCCATGTATATGGGAAGGTTAAAAAATATGGGCTTCAGCTAAAAACTCTACTCTTACAAATTTACCTTCAGGAGATAATCAGTTAAGTGTTAAATTTATGTACAGAAGATATTCATTAATTTAAATAATTAGCAACTGGAAATAGCTCAAATGTCCAGTAATAAGGAATTTAGTAAAACATTGTAATTTCATAGCGCAATTGAGTATTAGGCAACAGGAAGCCCGCCACAGCAATCCCTACCTAGCCATGCAGTGGCAGGACTTTGTGCAGACCCTTGTAGGCCCCTGCCCAGTGTCTCCAGACAGTCCATGAACTCTTAGATCATCACTCCAGTCCTGGCTGGGCCCTGCTTAGTGCCTTCCAGATAGCTAGGAGCCGCCACATGTGAGCTGAAGCCTGCCATAGCGATCTGTCTAGTTGTGTGGCCACAGGTCTTTGCTTGGAACCAGGTAGGGTCCTACCCAGAGACCCCAAGAAGATGGGGAGCTTTGGTGTGCCACGTGGAGTGAGCTGAAGGCCTACCCAGTGTACTGCACATACCATTCAGCCTTAGTATGACACTCAGAACCTAGTAGGGCCCTTAAGCAGTGACCTCATGCAGCCAGGGAGCTTCTGTGAGCCAAGTGGGAAGTGCTGAAGGTCCACCCAGTGCACACCCCCCAATTTGGGGAGCCTTTAAGTGCCACAAGGGCCCTGGGGAATACAGGAAAATGGCAAAATGAAAGAGCAAAATGCAATTTCAAACCTCCAGCCCATCCCAAATAAACCCAGGAGATATGGACATAGAAGAAAGTATATGCCATACACCTGAAGCTTCCGAAATGATAGCAACTAAAGTAAAGAAGCAATTCCATGAAGCTGTAAAGGAACTCAGATCAGAAATAATCTCCCAGGAAAAAGAAGAAATAATAAACATAATAAAAGAAATGCTGAACACCTCTAAAGAAGACATAGTTAAAAAAATTGAGGGGCACTGCAAAAAGATGGAAACTTTGCATGAATATAAGAAAACAATAGAATGCATGAAACAGATTCAAGGAGCTATCCAGGAAATCAAAAATTCCATCAAAAGCTAGCAAAACTGCCTGAATGAATGTAAAGATAGATTTTCAGACCTAGAAGACAATATTGCATCTAGTGAACAAGAAAGGAAAGATTTTAAAAAAATAACAAGGAATCCGGAAATAACAATTCAACAGTTGCAAGATGATGTAAAGAAAAATAATATAATTGATAGGTGTAAATGAAAAGGAAGATGGTTATACAAATGATATCAAAAGACTATTTGCAGAAATAAAAGCAGAGAATTTCCCAAACATGGGAAAGGAAACTGATATGCAGATAAGTGAAGCATATAGAACTTCAATTAATCATAAAAAATAAATATACACCCAGACATATAATAATAATCAACATCCCATGAATTCAACGTAAGAACAAAATATTAAAAGCTGTTAGAGAAAAGAGACAGATTACCTATAAAGGAAAGCCCATTAGAATCACAGCAGACTTCTTAATACAAACAGTGAAGTCAAGAAGAGCATGGAGTGAAGTATTTCAAATCCTAAAGAAAACAACTTCCAACCAGATTGATGTACCCTGCAAAAATGTCCTTCAAAATTGATGGAGAAATAAGATACTTTCATGACAAAGGACAGCTGATGAACTTCATTACCACCAAACCATCCTACAAAGAATACTGAAAGATATTCTAGATAGACATAAAAATAACTACAACTCCATGAACACCAATAGAATAAAGCCACTAAGCAGGGCGGATAATTAAAGAGAGTAGAAAGGTAAAGAACCAGTAACAGAAAGATAACATGACAGAAAGGAGCCAATATAGATCAGTTATAACCATTAATATAAATGGCCTCAATTCACCAACTAAAAGAAGCAAACGGGAAGAATGGATCAAGAAACAACATCCAAACATATGCTGTATACAAAAAAACCATTGAACCCAAAATGAAATTCATAGACTGAAAATCAAAGGATGGAATACAATATTTCATGCCCCAAAAGCAAGAGTAGCTATTTTGTTTGTGGACAACGTGATCTTCAAACCAAGAATGATCAGAAGAAGTAAAGAAGGTCACTACATGCTAGTTAGGGGAAAACTTTAAGAGGAAGAGGTAACAGTCTTAAATATATATGCACCAAACATGGGATCACCCAGCTATGTAAAACAAATATTGATAGAAATGAAAAATCAAATAAGCAATAACACAATTATAAAGGAGACCTTTACACCACTTTGACACAAAGAGACAGATCAAATAGACAGAAAGTCAGCAAAGAAATAACGGAATTGAATCAAACTTGTGAACAAATGGATTTAGTAGATGTGTATAGAGGGCTCTACCCAGCAACATTGGAATATATATTTTTCTCACATGCACATGGGACATTCTCTGAAACAGACCATATACTAGCCCATAGAACATGCTTAAGTAAATACAAAAAAATTGAAAAATTTTCATACATATTATCAGACCATAGTGCTATAAGGATGGCTTTTTTTTTTTTTTTTTTTTTTTTTTTTTGTCGTTTTCATTTTTATCGGTACCGGGGATCGAACTCACGACCGCCTGCTTGCAAGGCAGGTGCTTATGCCACTGAGCTAAACCCCTACCCCCAGATCATAGTGCTATAAAACTGGAAATTAATGACAAAAGAAACTGCAAAAACTCCATGAACACATGGAAATTAAATAATATACTCCTGAACAATCAGTGAGTCACAGAAGAAATTAAAGAAGAAGTTAAACAGTATCTACAAGTAAATGAAAATACATCTTACTGGAACCTGTGGGGTGCAATGAAAAGAGTCCTCAGAGGGAAATATATTGCAGTGATTTCCCACATCAGGAAAACAGAGCAAACACGAATAAGCA